GGGGGTGTGCAAGGCCCAGAGGAGCCCAGGGGTGTGCAAGGGGTGTGCAAGGGCCACGAGCACTCAGGCAGGAGCCCTGGGGGGGTCCCAAGATCCCCTGGGGGGGTCCTTGCACACGAGTGTGAGCACAGAGACCCCCATGTGTGCCCTCAGGGGGGTCCTTGCACACGTGTGTGAGCACAGAGACCCCCATGTGTGCCCTCAGGGGGGTCCTTGCACACGTGTGTGAGCACAGAGACCCCCATGTGTGCCCTCAGGGGGGTCCTTGCACACGTGTGTGTGTAAAACCCCAAATGTTTATGGTTGGGGGTCCTTGCACATGTGTGTGCCCTGGGGTTGTCCTTGCACACGCGTGTGAGCTTTCGGGGTCCTGCACACGTGAGCACTGACACTCCCAAACAGAGTGGGCACTCTTTGGAGGTCCCAGGGGTCAGGGATTTTAGGGGGTCCCTGGATTTTGGGGGTCTCAGGGGTCAGGGATTTTAGGAGGTCCCTCCCGGGTGGGTGGGATTTGGGGGCTCAGGGATGTGGGATGGGGGGATCTGGGATTTGGGAGTTCAGGGTCTGGGTGATCCCGTTTTGGGGTCCAGGTGACCCCGTTTTGGGGTCCAGGTGACCCCAATTTGGGGTCCAGGTGACCCTTGTGCCCCGAGGGCTGAGCAGGGCACAGAGTTTGGGGTGAGGGCACCCTTGTTTGGGGTGGGGGCACCCCCGTTTGGGGTGGGGGCACCCCCATTTGGGGCATCTCTGTCCCCCTAAGACTGCTCTGGGGGAGCCCCCCTGGGACCGGTGTGTTGGGAGGCACCCCTGGGGCTGGGGGGGACCCTATTTTGGGGGCACAGGGACCCCTTTGGGGGGGACCACTGACCCCATTTTGGGGGTTCATCGACCCTATTTGGGGGTTCCCTGACCCCCCTGGGGTTCCCTGACCCTATTTGGGGTTCCCTGATCCCATTTGGGGTTCCCTGTCCCCAGGACTGATCCGGGGTGCCCTCCCCTTTGGGCTGGCGCGCCGGGAGCTGGCGTGTGAGGGGTACCCCATTTTGGGGTCACAGGGATCCCATCGGGGGTTCCCTGACCCCACTGGGGGTTCCCTGACCCCATTGAGGTTTCCCTGACCCTGTTTGGGGTTCCCTGACCCCATTTGGGGTCTGCCCTGTTCCCCCCCAGGTCTGATCCGGGTGCCCTCCCCTTTGGGCTGACGCGCCGGGAGCTGGCGCGTGAGGGGTACCCGCTGGAGCTGGGGTACCCTCAATTTGGGATTCATTGACCCTGTTTGGGGTTTCCTGTGCCCAGGTCTGATCCGGGGTGCCCTCCCCTTCGGGCTGGCACGCCGGGAGCTGGCGTGTGAGGGGTACCCGCTGGAGCTGGGGGTACCCTAATTTTGGGGTTCATTGACCCTGTTTGGGGTTCCCTGATCCCTGTGTCCCCAGGTCTGATCCGGGGTGCCCTCCCCTTTGGGCTGGCACGCCGGGAGCTGGCGTGTGAGGGGTACCCGCTGGAGCTGCGCTGCCCCGGCAGCGACGTCGTCCTCGTGGCCGACGCCAACTACGGACGCACCGACGACAAGATCTGCGACGCCGACCCCGGGCAGATGGCCAATGTGCAGTGCTACCTGCCCCAGGCACACCCCATCATGGCCCAGAGGTGACAGTGGGGACACACAGAGACACTGGGGACACTGGGGACACTGGGGACATTGGGGACATTGGGGACATTGGAGACATTGGGTACCCCGGGCAGATGGCAAATGTGCAGTGCTACCTGCCCCAGGCACACCCCATCATGGCCCAGAGGTGACACGGGGACAGTGGGGACACTGGGGACATTGGGGACATTGGGGACATTGGGCACCTTGGGCAGATGGCAAATGTGCTGGCTCAGAGGTGACATCCAGGGACACTGGGGACACCCAGAGCATTGGGGACACTTAGAGACATTGGGACATTGGGGACATTGGGGACATTGGAACATTGGGGACATCAGGGGCATTGGGGACACTGGGGGGCACTGGGGACACTGGGGGGACAGGAGGACATTGCGGGGGTGCAGGAGATCAGGGACATGGGGGGTGTTGGGGACATGGGGACAGGGGTGGGGACAGGGAGGAGATTCCACCCATGTCCCCACTGTCCCTGTGTCCCCCTGTCCTGGTGTCCCCCCTGTCCCCATGTCCCCTCATGTCCCCCGATGTCTCTGTGTCCCCTCACATTCCTGTGTCCCCCCCAATGTCCCTGCTCCCCCATCCCCATTCCCCTTGTCTCCTGTTGTCCCCTCTGTCCCCCCATCCCCTGCTGTCCCCTGTTGATCCCCCTTGTGTCCCCTGCTGTGTCCCCCCTGTCCCCTGTTGTCCCCCTGTCCCCTGTCCCCTGTTGTCCCCCTGTCCCCCTGTCCCCGCTGTCCCCTGCTGTGTCCCCTGTCTGTTGTCCCCCTGTCCCCACTGTCCCTGACCACGGTGTCCTGCTGTGTCCCCTGCTGTGTCCCCCTGTCCTCGTTGTCCCCTGTCCCCTGTTGTCCACACTGCCCCCCGTTGTCCCGTCGCTGTCCCGCTGCGACTCCCCCTGTCCCCTGTTGTGCCCACTGCTGCCCTGCTGTAGTGCCCCCTGTCCCCTGTTGTCCCCCCTGTCCCCGCTGTCCCCGCTGTCCCCGCTGTCCTGACCGGGTGTCCCCTCAGGTGCAACAACCGCACTCAGTGTGTCGTGGTCGCCGGATCCGACGCCTTCCCCGACCCCTGTCCTGGCACCTACAAATACCTGGAGGTGCAGTACGACTGCGTGCCCTACAGTGAGTGCTGCCCTCATCCTACAGAGCCCACAGCCCTGCCCCACGGCCTCACAGACCCCACAGACCCCATAACCCTGCCCCATAACACCCACAGACCCCACAGCCCCTGTCCCAGCACCTACAAATACCTGGAGGTGCAGTACGACTGCGTGCCCTACAGTGAGTGCTGCCCTAAAACCCCTGACCCCACAGACCCCAGAACCCTGCCCCATAACACCCACAGACCCCACAGACCCCACAGCACTGCCCCATGGCCCTACAGACCCCACAGACCCCACAGCCCCTGTCCTGGCACCTACAAATAGCTGGAGGTGCAGTACGACTGCGTGCCCTACAGTGAGTGCTGCCCTCATCCTATAGACCCCATAGCCCTGCCCCACGGCCCTACAGACCCCACAGACCCCACAGACCCCAGAACCCTGCCCCACAGCCCTACAGACCCCACAGCCCCCACAGCCCCTGTCCTGGCACCTACAAATACCTGGAGGTGCAGTACGACTGCGTGCCCTACAGTGAGTGCTGCCCTAAAACCCCTGACCCCATAACCCAGCCCAACGACCCCACAGACCCCACAGCACTGCCCCATGGCCCTACAGACCCCACAGACCCCACAGATCCCACAGCCCCTGTCCCGGCACCTACAAATACCTGGAGGTGCAGTACGACTGCGTGCCCTACAGTGAGTGCTGCCCTAAAACCCCTGACCCCACAGACCCCACAGACCCCACAGACCCCAGAACCCTGCCCCATGGCCCTACAGACCCCACAGACCCCACAGCCTCCCTGTCCTGGCACCCCTGAGGTGCCCAATGACTGCCCTGCCCCATGGCAGGTCCTGCCCCATGGCACCCATGGAGACCCTACTGGGACCCACAGCACCCATGGGGATCCCAGAGCACCCATGGGGATCCCACAGAACCTACAGAGACCCCTCAGAGATCCCACAGCACCCCCAGGGACCCCACAGCACCCACGGGGACCTCAGAGCACCCACGGGGACCCTACAGGGACCCCACAGCACCTCCAGGGACCCCAGAGCCCCCACAGGGACCCTACAGGGACCCCACAGCACCTCCAGGAACCCCAGAGCACCCACAGCACCCATGGGGACCTGTCGGGGACTCCACAGCCCCTCCAGGGACCCCAGAGCACCCACAGCAGCCATGGGGACCCTACAGGGACCCCACAGCACTCACAGAGACCCCACAGAACCCACAGGGACCCCACAGCACCACCAGGACCCCCCAGGCCCCCGTCGCCTCCTCTCCCCTCAGGGACCCCCCAACCTCGCGGGGGCACCGGACACCTCTGGGGGTGGGGAGGGATGGGAGGGGCAGGGCCTGGGGCGTTGTGGGACCCCTGGTAGTTGGGGGCTGGGGGTCCCACCCTCCGAACACCCCCGGGGTCCTCCCATGTTGTGTCCCCCCAAACCAAACCGGGCCTGACCCCCTTTGTGGCTCCCAGGACCCCCGGGCTGTCGGGGGCTCTGACTCATTGGGGGGAGGGTCACCCCATCTCTCCCCAGGCACCGCCGCGGGACCCCAAAACCCCAAATTCCCCAAAAATCCCCAAACCCCCAAAAACTCCCAACCCCCTTTGCTTTGCAGCTGCTGCTGGAGCCGCCAGAGGGGCCGGGGAAGGGGAGGGGGGAGACCCCGATCGGCACCGGCACACGGGGGGGACACGCCAGGGACATGCCAGGGACACGCCAAGGACACGTCAGGGACATGCCAAGGACATGCCAAGCAGCTGGATACAGCTGGACACACCAAGGACATGCCAAACATGTGCCAATCACACACGGAGAGCGTACCAAGAACACGCTCCCGGACACCAAGAACATGCCAGGCACACGCCAAAGACATGCCAGGAACACACCAGGCATGGTCACATGTGAAGAACATGCCAGGCACACGCCAAAGACGTACCAGGAACGTGCCAGGCACACGGTGTCACATGCTGAGAACACACCAGGAACAAACACATTAAGAACATGCCAAGGACACACTAAAAACACAGAACATGCCAAGCACACAGAACATGCCAATCACACACCAAGAACACACCAAGCACACGCTAAGAACACCGAACACGCCAAGCACACACCAGAACACAGAAGACACTAAGAACACACTAAGAACACACTAAGAACACATTAAGAACACATTAAGAACATGCCAAGCACACAGAACACGCCAAGCACACACTAAGAACACAGAACATGCCAAGCACACGCCAAGCACATGCTAAGAACACAGAACATGCCAAGCACACACCAGGAAGATGCCAAGCACACACTAAGAACACAGAACACGCAAAGCACACACTAAGAACACAGAACATGCCAAGCACACAGAACACGCCAAGCACACACTAAGAACACAGAACACACTAGGCACACTACCCAGAATAGCACACAGAACACGCATGCAAGCACACGCCCCTGTGCCCGTCCCTCGCCGGTGCCGGGGAGGGGAATGTGGGGTGGGGCGGTTTGGGGGCCTCGGGGAGGGGCGCCTGCTTCCTTTGCAGGTGGAGCCGCCGAGACCCCAAAACGGGGCCTGGACCCCCAGGGCTCGAGCCCTCCCCCTCCTCTCCCCGCCTGTCTCTCTCCCTCCAGGGCTGGGGGAGGGGCCGAGGGGTCAAAACTCCAAGGGGGCCAGGAGTGTGGGGAGGGGAGCCCTGCGCCCCCGGCCACGGGTCCGGCTGTCCGGCTGTCCATCTGTCCATCTGTCTGTCTGTCCAGCTGTCCTTCTATCCATCTGTCCATCTGTCTGTCCATCCAGGTGTCTGTCTGTCCAGTCTGTCCATCGACCCTGTCTGTCTGTCCATCGTTGTCCATGTGTCCATCTGTCACGATCCATCAGCGCGTCTCAGTCCGTCTGTCCGTCCCCACCTCAGTCCTTCCCCACCCCTCGTCTCCACCCACCCACTCCCCTTGTCCGTCTGTCCATCCATCCCCATCCCTGTGTCCATCCATCCCCTCCCCCATCCCTCCCCTCCCCCCCCCCGTGTCCGTCTGTCTGTCCCCAGGACCCCCCGGCCCCTCCAGGGCCTTTTCCGGTGCTGGAAACCCCTTTTCCAAGGGAATTTCCCCAAAATTTCACCCCCTCCTGGGATCACCAGGACGATGCTCAGCAGGGAAGGGCCCGGGGGCCTCCCAGCCTGGAATTCCATCATTCCCTGGA